TAACAAGTATAATAGAGTATTTTACAAATAAGTAATGACCATTACAATTAATTTAACGAATTAACAAAATTTATAAAACATTTTTACATGAATAAACAAAATAATTGCCAAATGTTCTAATTAAAAGAGGAATAAATATATATTGCCATCATATTTCGCCTCCTTTGAATCTCCAGAATCAGTGTAAACAAGGCCTTGTCTCCAAATGTTTCGTGGGTGATAATGTGGCACACGATGAAGGTTCATCTGCTAACTGAGCAGGGGATCCAATACCATGAACAGAAGGGAAAGGAGATGCAGGATTTGATGACTGAAAATTAGAGGTATTAGGAACCACAACTGAGGATGGCAAGATTCCCGACTGTGAAGAAGTTGTGGAAGTGACAGCTGCTAGTGTTTGACTCCCTTGGCCAAGAGACATCTCTGAAGAAGAAACTGAAGAAAGAAGAGACGACAAGAAAGTATCTCAGTTTATGTAACCTACACTGGACAAACTACGTAAAGCAAAGAGAAGGAACTTAGCCCGAAGTGCATGAATACAACACTGGATAACTAGAGACATTAAAGCAAATTTTGTCACAGCATGCAGCTGCACCTGGTCCTGGAAAAGATGCACCACGAAGTCAAGAAACAAATTTAATGTAATCAACAAACTATCTATTGATGCTACCAGAACTTGTGTCCCAAAGCTTACAGGAAATTGGATCTGTAGCTGCTCAAAATCTAAGAGGAACTGTTCATTTGACCCTGGAGGAAGATTTTATCCATACAAAGAACAATAAAAATAAGGGTAGAAAATTTCAAAGTTGATGCATGAAGTACGAATGGTATAATCTAGTTTCCCTATAAGATACCTGCATTATTGAGGTAAACATATATAATATCTTCTCCGTCTTCTAAAAAAAAGTAAATAAGTAATGTACCATCAATTACGCAAGTAATGAGTCCAGACTCTAACTTAATTAGTTAAATAATATAGTGGCATAATGAACAGCCAAGCCTAGATTCTCATTCTATCTTATTAGGGAAAAATTTATGTTTGAAGTATATAATGCCACTAACTCTCTTTCTTTTTGGAAGATGCCTGGCAGCTTCCCTCTGTTCAGATTTATGTTATTTACCGTGAAAGACTTAATATTGCTAATCCAACAATTACATTCAGAACAAATACTCTATGTTATAAAGCCTAATCCCACATTTACTGGTCGGCTGCACCTATCCTCTTCTTCCAGTTTTAGAAAAGGACCGTGTACATAATTAAATAATAAAAGCACGAAGTTTTTCTCATAAACTCATTGATGTGATTTCAGATTGAATGTTTTTTCAAAGTCTTTGTTTAATACTTGTCACTTTTCCTAACCAGTGCATCATTTGGTCTTCTTATTTGTACAAACCTGTCTCAAATGGTTCTCCAATAATATATGTTCAATAGTCACAAACTTAACCAATTCTAGTGTATGTTCATTTCTGACTCTTGAAGTTTCCCCACAAATTCAATACAACAATCCCATATTAGCAACACTCAACTGACCAAATTAAAATATTTTAAAGTTGAGCGATTGATTTAAGATTCTTCTGAAAGTTTAGTGATGAAATATTA